AAGGTCGGTGTTGAGATGCAGGGCGGCGTGGAGACGGATGGCTCGGGTGGAAGTACGGGGCCAGGACCAACGTGGTTCCAAAGGCCCTTTCATCCTAAGCAAGGGGGGACGCAGGCGATTGCGGATATTGTTATTTCCCAGGCGATTGCGGACAGGATTCCCGGTGTTGTCGGCTCGTCTCCCCCTACTACAGGAACTTGTGATTGTGATGAGAGTGGATGTACTCCCGAGTCACCGGCTTGTTGCGCCACCGGCACTTGTTGATATAGAATTCCAGTTTCCGTATTGTAATTGTTCCTCGATGTTCGAAAGACGCATACATAAGAGAAGAACACCTCATATGTGGACTGTCTAACATACGACGAGACTGTCTATCATACTAGGAAGTTAGGTAGTCTCACGATCCCGAGACGCTTGTCCATGTCGAGCCCCTTATTGGCGCGGGAAGTCCACTGCCCAGTTCCAAGGTTGTGACGTCGGCTGTCATCCTGGTGCGGCATATTGCTCGGACACTTGGCACTAGCCTGCTCAGATCGCAGTTAGATGATCGCAGGCCCAAGACCAGTAACGCCTCCATTTTGAGGAGAAAAGGCTGATCGGGACCACTTTCACGATAAAGTGGTTACTTGGGTCTAGTGTCGGGAACAATTAAGACAACTAGACCAAATAGTGGATTTCGGACCATTATCTAACCTGTGTGCTCGTGTAAGTACTAGATAGTGGTCCGAAATCTACAATTTGGTTAGTTGTTCTCGACACTGCCTAGGTCTGTTGCCCTAGCTTCTCTGCAGCCGGTTAAACTACTACCAAGAGGTATAGATATGTGTTATAGAGCTAGATCCAATACCCGAGCGCAGCGTATGCCTCAAAGTCAAGTCAACAGCATAAGTAGGTACCTACCTATGCCTGTTGGTAATGGCCCAATCGACTATGGATAAACCAAGGTAGCTGTTCAGCCAGCCACTTTATCGGGATTGTACTCCCTGCTGGCCAGCCCTCTCTTCTCGGTATTACCTAAGCTAAAGTGAGCAGATATTAGATGCTTGCATTCACCACGGGCAGGGTTATAAAAGGCGAGGGCATAAGATTTGTATTTTCTTGGTTGGACTCGGAGGGGGCTGTTTACCTTATAATCCACAACTGCTTCACCCTATCAAATGCTGATACGCGTCTAGCGTGGTATGACTGAGCCGTTATGCGGTATTTCTGCTATCAGTTAGGACAGGGACGATGAAACTGGAAGGAAGTGAGAATGAAAGTGGAAAGGAAGAGTTGACATCGAAATTAGCCATAGGTTGATACTTGGCGCTCCGGGCCGAGTGTTGTGCGGCGTCAGAAATTGACAGGTACCTAGGTACATACCTACCCCAACACCGGAATTCTAAATAAAGTCCGTTCGGTTCCGAGGCTTTCCGTGAGATAAGAGTCATGTGATTTGACTATCTGATAGGCTTCTGCATCAATTTTAATTGTTTATAGTTCATAGATTAATTCTTTCTTTCCTTTCTCCAGAATCATTCTATTCGATACCGAACTTCCTAACCTGGAACTTCAATAAGGATGCATAAGCCCGGTAATGACATTCGGAGCTGACATGCGGAGGTGTGGACCTGGGCGGCTCCGCAATTGTGGGAAGCCTGCCTAGACCTCGGGCGGCCGAACAGGCAACTGCAGGCAGCCACGGCGCCAGTCCCAGGCTGCACAACAGCTTTCTGATCTATCATTATGGCAGTTTGACTCATCACATCGGATTTCTTGGAAAACCGAGACGGCCTTGCATTATTAACTCTGAAAAAGGATTACATCCCATTGGCTGACCGGGGAATAGTGGGTACGGCGACTGCCTAAAAGCTAAGTGATGTGAAGTCGTGTGTATTGATGAGGATTCTACATATGCACGGCATAACGCAAGGCTGCCTCGCCTCTACAATAGGAACCCCGCATTCTATCGTGCTTGTTAAGTCCTACGGTTTGAGTATATATTACCATATCTCCTACAAATTTAATTCTTCGTTTTCTTCTCTTTCTTCATCTCATTATCATAATCCTAGAGTTAGCTTCAGGTCTTGAATGTCAACTTTACCCCTTTTCAGTAACCCAATGGCCCGCACCAAGCAGACTGCCCGTCACCCAATTCGTCAGCATGACCCCAACGCTGAGCCTCCTGATGAGGAGGAACAGATGGAGATGAACGCCCGTCTCACCGAAGAGGAGAAACTCAAGCGTCAAGAGCTCGAGCAAGCCCCCATGCAGGTAGAGCTCAAGAATCTCGAGAAGAGATGGACCAAGAAGGGCCGCGGTTACATCTGCGAGCCCAAAGACGACGAAGATGTCCCCGAGGGCAATATCAACTGGTACGAAAAGTTTGCCCTTTGTGTAAGTCATCATCCACCTAGGTTCCTCGTAGAACATTACCCCTAACTCTTGTATAGATCACACGCCAGTATGATCCACAAAACAAGTGGGTTCAGAGGACTACCTTGCAAGTCAACTCCGAGTCTCTCAAGGATATTATTCGCGATCGAATCGGCAACTATCCTGGTCAATCATTCCACACAGCCCAAGTCACCCTGGACTTTCCTCCCCGCTGCCTCTATCACTACCATCCCGAGCTGAAAGAAGAGCTCGAACTCGCCACCAAGGAGGACCCCAACTCAGAGGCTACCAGGCACCTGCCGATTCTCCTCGACTTCATTCGAGAGGAATTCAACGACGCCATCACTGAAGGCGACAACCTTCGCGAGAAGGGCCTCGTCACCTACGAGCACCTCTGGACCATCTTTAGGCCCGGCATCCTGATCTACGGCACTCACCTGTCACAACCCCGCGTCTATAAACTGAACAACTACTGTTACACTGGAGGAAATTGTCCTGGTCTATCGCTGACGGTCGAGTATGTGGACTATGACGGCGACGACTTCGGAATGCGTTGCACCAACGTCCTTATTCACCAGTTTGACGGTGCCGCTCCCATTGCTGCGCTGTCTGCCTTTCCTCTTAGCTTCCACACCAACGAGGCTGCCATCCGGGAGAAGCTGATTGCCCGTGGTCGGAAGTGGGAGTCGCACGCCGGTCAACAGTTTCGCGAGTACAGGGGCGTGGCTCTCGACACCTTAAACTTTCGCTACAACCTCGACGGCCGCGTGATGGTCGATACTCATACGTTCCATCGTATCGAGGCCGACGACGCTTACACGGTGAGCCCATTCCCCAAGGCCGGCGGCGCCAAGCGCAAGCAGGATCTCGACTCGAACGATATGGACCTCGTTCCGGTAGAAGATGCCATCGCGGCACTTGCTCCTCTCACAGATGACCAGTGCCTGCTTGCCAGCTCTATGGTGCGTGGGTACAGCTTCACCGAGAAGAAGTTCCTCGAGTTCTTCATCGAGAAGCTCGAGCCCGTTGACTGGAACACCAAGTGTTTCGAGCAACTGGTGCTTCCGGATAGTCAGAAGGAGCTGGTGCAAGCGCTCGTCGCAGAGCACACTCAGCGCACCACCGACCCGGCCAAGGCAGGTTTCGATGACATTGTCAAGGGGAAGGGTCGCGGATTGGTTCTTGTGTTGCACGGACCTCCCGGTGTCGGAAAGACGCTGACAGCAGAGTGTGTCGCCGAGTTCAGTCAACGACCACTGTACATTGTGTCGTCTGGTGACCTCGGAACATCATCCACCGTTCTCGATGAGCGCCTATCCCGCACTCTTGACCTTGCCAGTACTTGGAAGGCAGTGCTCCTGATCGACGAAGCGGATGTGTTCCTCGAGCGCCGCTCCCTACACGACATGGAGCGCAACAGCCTAGTGTCCATCTTCCTGCGCACGCTAGAGTACTACAGCGGCATCCTGTTCATGACGACCAACCGCGTGCGCACCTTCGACGACGCCTTCAAGAGCCGCATCCACGTGCCCCTGAAGTACGGTGCTCTGCCCGTCTCTTCGCGGGTCAAGATCTGGAAGAATTTCCTCTCCACGATCGAGGGCGGCGTGGACATTGACGAGGGCGGATATGAGGAGCTGGCCGGGGGGAACCTCAACGGTCGTCAAATCAAGAATGTGGTCAGGACGGCTAAGAGCCTTGCGGCGCACAAGAGAAGACGCCTCGACAAGGCACAGCTCAAGCAGGTTATGGATATCCAGATGGCTTTTGAGGAGGAGCTCACGGGCGAGGGAGACGTGGACATGGTCGAGCAATAAGTTGCGGATTTTTAATTGTCTCCGGTGTACACATGGCATGGATATCTTGACAGGAACATTTCCTTAGGTACTTACCTATCTTTTCTTTTCTGTTACAGGTAACACACAAGTCAGCAACGAAAACGAATTGTTCAGAACAAATAGCATGGTGACAAGGCTCTTCGTGCAACAACGGAGTTTCTTCTCGTGGTTCTATGTTTGCATCGTGACATTACCAAAGGGGATCAAGAGCTGGCCACAACTTACCTATGTAGCTTTCAAGGTATCAAGAAAGGAGCTGGTGAGTACTTCCGAGAGGCGGTTTACCGTGCTGTCATCGCCAATACAATGAATGGGAGATCGAATTCCAGCTAGGAAGTTGGTTCACTCTATCATATTGTGCAGACATCCTCTTACATCAACATCAGGATGCACCGAAGATATTTATTCCAGAGAACCTATCTAAATGTCTCTATTGATTATGTCAGACTAATGCCAGGAGTTATATGGGGAAATATCTATATTCTATTTGAAATGGAAGGCATATCGTTTCTAACTAGTTTAGAAATAATCTTACTTTTCCAACCATTCATGCTATATATAACATGCTAAAATAATTGGAATCAATCTAGTTTCGGGACACATAGGGCGTGTAACTCAGTGGTAGAGTGCTCGCTTTGCATGCGAGAAGCCCAGGGTTCGACTCCCTGCTCGTCCATATTTTTGGGTAAATATTTGCTCACATATTTTTTTTAAATCCACAACACAACATCTGACTCAGCAACATTTGATCTGTGTCCAGTCAAAGCACCAAAAATGAAAAAGAAATGCATCAGCCGCGAATCGAACGCGGGGCCCATCGATGATTGCCAATGGCAACGATGGATTTTACCACTAAACCACTGATGCTTGCTCTATTGAGGGAAGAGGTTGTGGATACTGAAAAATATAATAAAAAGACTATATTATGTGTGGAGGTATGGGGCAGTCTAGAGTCTAGACTGTTCTCTTCGGTAAGCCGATAAGAGCCGCCGGTATCCCACCAGCTGCCAAGCCGGCCGGCCGACTGCAGCACATTTGTATTTCCACCGGAGTATCTATCTGACATGAGAACATCCATACGTCCCGAAAATCTCTCAAGGAAAGTATTGATAGTGTATGTAGGATCAGGAACCATGCATGCTATCCAACCATGAACCCATAAGCAGAAAAGGGTTCATCTAACAACGTTCCCGATGCCGGAATCAGGCCCATGGCTTCTGGTCTGACATCCGCCCGAATCTCAAGTGTAATCGGCTTTCTTAGACCTTTAGCACAACTTAATACCACTAGATCACATACACATTTCAATTTCAGAGTTTGGAGACACTCATATACCATGGCGGCGCGTACGTACGAGTCCGCGCTCGCGCACCTCGACTCCATCCAGTCGAACCGGCACGTCACCTCGCTCTTCTCCGCCCCTCCCTCTTCCTCCTCCTCATCGCCCTCCTCCAACCCCACCGCCGCGGACCTCAACGCGCAAGCCATCCCGGAGATGCTCGCGTGGCTGGAGCGCGCGGGGCTAACACAAACCGCCCTCGCGCAGAACCTGCGCTGCGTCCACGTCGCCGGCACCAAGGGCAAGGGCTCCGTGTGCGCGTACGTGACCGCGATCCTGCTCACGCAGCCCAGCACCGCCGGGCGCGTCGGCACGTACACGAGCCCGCACCTGGTCTCGGTGCGCGAGCGCATCCAGCTGGACGGGCGGCCCATCAGCCGCGCGCTGTTCGCGCGGTACTTCTTCGAGGTGTGGGACGCGCTGACATCCTCGGCGCGCGCGGCCGCCACGCTATCCGGGCAGCCGGTCTCGGACGCGGAGCTGGCCGGCCCCGCGACCAAGCCGTTCTACTTCCGGTTCCTGACGATCCTCGCCTTGCACGCGTTCCTGCGCGAGGGCGTGCGCAGCGCCGTCGTCGAGTGCGGCATCGGCGCCGAGCACGACAGCACCAACGTGCTGCCGGCCGCCGCCGTGACCGCCGCCGTCGTCGCGCAGCTGGGCGTCGACCACGTCGGCATGCTGGGCGCCGCGCGGCCGCGCATCGCGTGGCACAAGGCCGGCGTCATGAAGCCCGCGCGCGCGTGCTTCACGCGGAAGCTGACAGACGCCAGCGCGGAGGACGGCGAGGCGACGATGCAGGTCCTGCGGCGGCGCGCCGCGGACAAGGACGCGCGCCTGGTCGAGGTCGACGACGCCGAGGTGGAGCGCTGGGGCGGCGCGCATGTGGAGGGCGGGGGCCTCGAGGGCGGCTTCCAGAAGTACAACCAGGCGCTGGCGCTGCGTGCCGCGGCGGAGCACCTGCGGGTGCTAGCGGGCGACGCGCAAGCAGCGGGAGAGGAAAGGCTGGATGTCCTGGCCGAACGCTTCGCCTCCGGCCTCCGGACGGCGCGGCTCCGCGGCCGCTGCGAGACGCGGGAGGACGGCGCCGTCACGTGGCTCGTCGACGGCGCGCACACGGCCGAGAGCCTGGAGGAGGTGGCTAGGTGGTTCGCGGCGAAGCGCAAATCCCTCCCCTCCCCCAACTCCAACTCCACTTCTAAGACCCAGTTCGTCCTTTTGTTCAACCAGCAGGAGCGCGACGTGGCCAAGCTACTGCACAGCCTGCACGCGGGCATTGCCAGGGAACTAGGCGCCGGAGACGCCTTCTTCCACTCCGCCATTTTCACGCGCAACGATGTATATGGCCGGAGAGCCGGGGAGCCGGAGCGGGACCTGTCTGTGCAGCGTGCGGCGGCGGATGCGATGCAAACGTTGTCTCCGCGGACGGAGAGCATCGTGGTTGATAACGTGTCCGAAGCCGTAGAGAGGATTCAGGCGATGCCACATGGCGATGGCACTGCTAGGGTCGTGGTCTTGGCTACGGGAAGTTTGCATCTCGTGGGCGCCTTGCTGAGGACTTTGGAGCCGGACGGGGAGTTGTGATAAGCTGTTTACACGCGGTACAACAAGGTAGTTCGGATATTCAAATAGGGGTATTTAGTTAGGTGAGGACAGTTACGACAGAACGGCGTTTAGGAAAAGATGATATAGACCGCAGGTCACAAGACCACATTTCAGTTTCAACAACCGGCCTTTCAGGGGTTGATTAATAAAAACAAACTTCGTTGGCAATTTGGGCATTCGAATGCCCAGACTATATTCAGTCTCAGAGTCCCTACCTACTCATACAAACAACAACACAGCAACAAACTCAGGCCTCAGGTAGTAGAAAACTCGCATGTATCTCGATGCCTTCTCTCGCAATCGCCGGAAACATGCTATCTCAAAGCAGGCGAGCGCGGAATTAATTACTTCAGAACGGCAATGCCACGGATGCCAAGGTCCAACGAACAAATAAAAGTACACAGAAGCCCGCATCCTCTTCTAAAACCCGTCTAGCTGTCTACTCGATTCTCTTCTTGCCTTCTTCGGCGTTGAGGTAACGCGCCGTGCTAAGCCCGCGCTCGTGTCTCGCTACGAAGGGGCCGAGCAGGGCGTCCTTACGCACCTTGCTGATGGCGTCTTGGTAGCCTTCGGTAGCCCACGGGCGCGGATTCAGCTTGGGCCAGTTGACCTATAGCATAACTTGTTAGTATATATAGTACATATGCAAGTGAATAAAAGGGGGGATTTACGTAGAGCATGCCGTTGTTGATGATGAAGTTAGCAGACCAACCGGCGACCACGAACCAGAACAAGATAAAGAGGCGAATGGTCCAAACGGCCGAGCCCGGGGCGCGCCTGGTGAACAAGCTCACGAGGACGAAGAACACGCTGAAGGCGAGGACGTACGGGATGCTCTGGATGAGAACGGGCCGGCGGTCGGCGAACACGAGCGAGGCGCCGATGTTGGCGGTGGCGGGCTCGTACGCGCCCAGGAACAGGTCGAAGGCGTCCTGGCGGGGGCCGTCGCGGAAGTTGTTCAGCCAGTAGCGCATGACGGCCACCTTGCCGTCGCCGAGCGCGCCGGCCTTGGTGCGCTTGCCCAGGCGCGTGATGTCCGTCTTCATGGCGCCGGTGCCGGCGTACGCTTTCGACACGGTGTCGGCGTTGTCGGCCCACAGGTTGCGGAAGAGGAACTCGAAGGCCGGGTCGGCGGTGGAGAAGGTCTCGCCGCGCTGGAGCAGGCCCAGGTCGACGAACATGCGGTCCAGCGTCCACCGGGCTAGCATGCTTTGCACGACGTTGGTGCGGTCGAGGGAGTCCATGCAGTTGGTCCGGACGACGCTGGTCTGGTAGTTTCGAGTCTCGAGACCGCCGTTGGCGGGCATGTCCACGCCGCGGAAATATTGCTGCGCAATAAGAGCCTCTTGAAGTTGCTCGACTAGCAGCATGGCGCGTTGCATCTGCATGCCCTTGGTCTCGTGGTGGAAGTCGAAGTAGACGTAGTGCAGACGGTCGTACTCCTGCTTCGAGGAGCTAGGCTCGATGATGTGGAACTTCTCGTCGGTGATCGTGTCGCCCTTAACTTTCTCCGACGGTGACGAGACGAGCATCTGCACCATCTGCTCGTAGGCCTCCTTCATGCGCTTCTCGCGACCCTTCTGGTTGACCAGGTTCACCAGGTAGTTGTCTCCGTAGATGCGGATCTGCTCGTCGAAGTGCTTCTTGGCAGCCGGAAGGGCGGTCTCGATACCTCGGACCTGGAGTTTAGGGGTATACTTGAGGGCGTTGATCTCGGCCCAATATACTGGTATGCTGCCTCGTGTCTGAACGTAGGATAGGACCTGCATCTCTTTCCCCTCGGCACCGTACTTTCCACTTTGCATGTCACTGCTTCCGGCATATCCACCCAAGCCACCACCTGTGTCGTTTATAACGACAATCTGCTCTGTCTCGTTGTAGTTGGCGGCATGGCCCTCCTCGTCGATACCTCTAGTGAAATATCTAGTACCGGCCCGGTATCTTCCCTTGCGAGTGATTAGAACAACGGTCAGGGGTGTGTTCCTAAATGTGGTAGGGCGGATCTCGAGGGTTCCCCACATGATGGGCAATATGTAGGGGTCAACAGAGGGTTGCTGTCCCGGTTGTGAACGGTTTCCCATCTTACGGAAGTTGATGAGATCAGATTGAACATGTCTATTCCAGAAGAATCGATCGTCGGCTCGCATCCAGAGGGGGCTCGAGGAATCCATAGAAGCTTGTCGTTGGAAACTGTTGGTGAGATCTATGCCATAAGAAAAATACATGGGGCCTTTCATGACGAAGGTCTTGAGCAGGGATAGGAAATTGTCCTCATCGGGGTCGCGGATCTGTCGCTCGCGCATAGGCAAGAAGTCGGTCGAGATAACTTTGTAAACCATGTGGCCCTTAAGACGGCCCATAGGCTGGGCTTTGGTGATGACGATGGCATATTTATCTGTGCCGTGTTAGCCTTACCAGTATACAAGTTGCTAGGCGAGTTGTAAAGAGGGCATTGGGTAGTTACCAAGTCTCAGTCTGATGAAGCCTAATATGCCAGCTATACTAGAAACACGAGATACTCGCTTCGGGAGTGTTGTCGTCTCGCTTAGTCTAATATCACCGGTAGGACGGTCGATTACGAGAGAGGGCGCATTGGGAGAAGAGGGCGAGGTGAAGGTATAGGCGTCGGCTGCGACGTGGCAATTAATATCCCGAAATGGGAGCGTCATGGTGGGCTACAGAGCTATCGGCGATGTTTTTCAATATGCACTCATAATAGCTTCTCTATAACTTTCAAAAGGGCAAAACGTTGAAGTAGAAAAAAAAAGAGTTGTAATGAAAGTGTGACGACAGTGCAACTGCAAAGTCGTTTTGGTCCGAGAGAAGTGAAGTGAAATGCGCAGTTGCGTTGCGTTGCGTTGCGTTGCTACTGCTACGCTAACAGGACTCAGCTCCGTTTGACGATATGATGTGAAATGAAATGATT